AAAATTTAATTTGCACTTTCCCAGACTGGAACTCTGCTCCCTTGGGACATTTCTGTACTGCTTTGGATTTGGGTTTCCCCCCTCCTCTTTGCAGTGGCACCACTACCAAAGGCTCGTGGCAGCCAAATCTCAACTTGGCCACTGCTGGAGAGGATCTGAGCTGCGTGGGAGCCATGGAGCAGCGGGGAGAGCCGGGGCTGCCGCGTGAGTGCTCGGGTGATCCCCACTGCCCCCGCAGCACTGCTCGTCCCTGCAGGGAGGAGGGGTGGATGGCTGGGTGGACGGTGGCTCTGGGGGTGCCAGAGCCTGGTGGCTGGAGGAGGTGAGGCTCTGTATCTCCCTCATGCCTGTCGTGGGGGGCTGGAGGTGCCCAGTTCCATGTGGGATCATGCTTGATCTCAGGGCTCTCTGTGCTGCAGGATAGAGCGGATTTGAATCTCTTGGGTGTTTGTGTGTTAGGAGTGATTTCTGCAGTCAGCAAGCCTCAAACCCTCTGGGGGATCGGTGGGGAGAGCTCTGTGGCCTGGGAGCCCTAAAGAGACTCTTTAGTATAATTTATTTATTATTATTTTGAAAGCCCTGTCCCCTGGGACTCTTTCACCTAAAGCTGTGAGACTGCCTGCTTTAGCTGGGGAGACAGAGCATTTATTACTGTCCTGTTTGCCTCTTGAAAGCCTATTGCAAAGAGAGAAAGAGAGGAGGCTTTGTGTGAGCCTGGGGAGCTCCTGGGAGACGGGGGGAGTGTAAACACCTCTGTGTGCTGGGAGAGCTGCTGCCGAGAGGAGCCACACCAATCATGGTGCTGGGGCTGCCAGGGTGCTGTGCTGTGGTGGGGACCAGGACACGGCAAGGCTGGGCAGGTACAAACCCTGCTCCCATTCCAGAGGTTCAGGATGCCTGGGATTTTGGAGGGAATTGTTTTCTGCTCGCTCAGGAGGCTGCTTGGTGTTGTCTGTCCTGTGGGCTGAGCTGTGCAGTGAAAAAGGCAATCCTAGATTAGTTTGGTTTTTCCCAGGGGCAAATAAATTTGCTGGGAAAAACTTTTATTTTTGTGGGTGGCAGATGGAGATAACTGGGAATGTCAGCAAATGGATTTAACTGAACAAATGAAGAGTTTTTGATTATTCTGAAAGGAGGAACATTCAGAAGTGCCTTAGAAATGACCCTGGATCCCTGGGCATGGCCACACCACCTGTGTGCTGGTTCCTGCCTGTCCAGGACAGAGCTTTGGCATCATTTGCCTGTGTCTGTGGGGCTCTGGCATCAGCAGAGCTTCTGGGGCACGTGGCAGGGTTGTTCTTCAGCCCTCCTATCCAGGAGGTGACAGCAGCACTGACTGTGACCCCAGGCACTTCAGGGCCTCTCCCTCTGCATTGTCAACACATCCATGAGAGAGGGAGTTTGAGCCTTTGTGAGGTTTCTCTGCAGACCCCAGGGCTGGGATGATGAGGGGTCCCCAGACCCTCCTGGTGGGCAAGACAGGAGATCTCTTGGAATATTCTGTAGCATAAATACAATTCAGTTCCTCTCCCAGCGCTCATGTTGAGGATGGGATGAAAATGAGGGTGGGATTAAAGGTTCATCCCCACCCCAGCTCTATATCCTGGGCTCTCTTGCCTTTCAGCAAGATGTGGTAGAGGATGTGACATCTCCAGTGTCAGCCTGTCATATTTTGGAGGAGCTCTGATGTTGGTGAGCTGTGCTGGAGCTCAGGGCTTTGCTCTTGGGGAGAGCCAGAGCTGCTCCCCTGGCTGTGCCCCTGTCTGCAGGGAGAGCGTGCAGCAGGCCATGGGAACGTGTTTTGGAATGCCAGGGTGCAAATATCGACTTGGGCAGCTGGGACAGGCCACTGTGGGATGTTGTGGCATTGGCTGTGTGCCTGGCCAGCTTGGCTCCTGGCTGGAGGAGGAATCCTGGCTGGGATTGCTCCTGCCTACTGGCAAAGGACCCCTTCCCTCTCTGTGTTCCCTTCCTTGTGCTTCGATAACTGCATTAATCCCTTCCTCAAGGGCCTGCAAAGCAGCTGTGCCAGATGTGGGAAGCAGGTTCTTGTTCTGGGCAGAGCTGCTGGAGCAGCCTTTCCCCTCCTGTGTCCACCACATTCCATCAGACCTTGCCCTGGGCTTGCTGCTTCAAGTCCCTGGTGGGGAGACAGGAGCCACCAAATGTGGCTTCCCTGTGGGTTACTGGGTCCTGAAGATCCCAGAGGCTGCAGGGCAATTCTGGGAGTTTTGGGGCCACCAGGCAGACAGGAGAATTTAGGTGGTGGCCCAGACTTGCAGGGATCAGTGTCCCCAGGCTGCACTTTCTGCTCACCTCCCACACCTCTGACACTGCCAGCTGGGAGAGGAGATCCAGCTTCCCCTGGGCTCCGGGCCAGCAGTGCTGAGAAAAGGCAGATGTGCTGGGGCTGCTGAGGAGCTCCTGGTGCTGTCTCACAGCTGCTTCTGCTCACTGCCATGTCCTGCTCTGCTGGGCATCTCCCTGTGATGAGGGCAGCAAAGGCCACTGCTGTGCTGGACAAGCATGCAGCAATTAGAGAATAAATCACATCTTTGTTCCTCACCCCACCCTGAGCCTTGGATCCCCGTGGCTGGAGACACAGGAGGGGATGGGGAGCTGCAGGAGTGCTGAGCAGCCCAGCTGTGCCCATGGATGTGCCTGGTGCCTCTGCCCTTGGGCTGTGCGTGCAGGGGGCTCCAGCAACACAGCATCCATGGATCTGCATGCTTCCCAGAGCTGGAAAGGGACTCTCACAACCCAAGCGGACTCAGCTCTGGGCCTTTTCCACCCCACTGGTCCCTGAAATGCACATTGCCCTGCTCCCATCCTGGCTGGTGCCTCACTGCTGTGCTGTGGGAAGGAGGGAAAGGGAGGCACCTGGCCCCTCTCCACCAGGAAAGCAGGAGCATGGCATGGGAGCTGGCAGCAGAAACCCTGCCAGGCCTTCCCCAGCTCTGAACAGCCCCAAGGCACCGGGCCCTGGGCAGTGCTGGCTGGGAGCCTCCCAAGGCCCCTGCAGGGTGCCAAGGTCAGGCTGACACCGCAGGCACAGGCAGCCCCAGCAGAGCTGTGCTCTTTGTCCGGAGGCTTCAGAGGCTGCTGGGGTGTTTTTGTCTCCACCAGTGCCCAAAGGGGCTTGGATTTCTGGCGGTGGTACAAGAGGTGTCTGTGGCAGTGATGGATTGGGCTGTGCAGAGCATTCCTCCCTCCTTCCCTCCCTTGTTTGCTCTGTGTCCCTCCTGTTGCTTTTCCTTCAGTTTCAGGCAGTTTTGCTGGTGGAGGTTCAGTTGAATCAAACCAATGCCCCTGCCAGACTTTGGGGGAAAATGCAGCTTTTCTAGTGAGCAAACAGCCTTTTCAAGCTGCTGCCTCTGTCTTGGGGCTGTGAAGATGCAGCTGGAGATATTTTGGGGTACCTGGAGGCACTGGCCAGGGTGTGATAGGTGCTGTCCATCTGTCCATCCTGGTACACACTGGCACCAAAACCCCAAGTGAGGCTCTTTTGCCTTTACAGCTGCTGTGAGTGTGGCTCCAGCAGGGCTGAGGGACACTGCTCTGCCCCACTGCCCTTCAAGGGAGTTAATCTGGGGCTCCACAGCTGCCTCTGTGTTAAGGGAAGTGTAAAACACCTCTGCCTCACCAGTCCTACCCTGCTCATCTCTGTGGAAGAAGCCTGGGCAGATGATTCTGATCCTGCAGTTACTGGGCTGTGCTGGCTCCTCTGCTCTGCGCTGGCCTGGGAGATCTCTCCACCAAGGCTCCCAGTTCTGGGTCTGTGCACTTTCGTCTGTCTCAGCATCAGATCCTGCGGCAGGTTTGGATGGCTGAGAGTGTGGAGGGCCAGGCTGGGGCTGCTGTGGCTTTGTCAGGGTGCTGGACATGAGAAAAGCATCCAATTCCCCATTTTGTGGAGCCTCCTCTGAGCCCCAGCACGTCAGCAGGGGTGAGCTGGAGCTGGGTCTGAGCTGGAGTCTTGCAAGAGTGTCCAGCTCTGGAGCCATCCACAGAAGGACAAGGAGCTGCTGGATGAGTCCAGAGGAGGCCACAGATATTCTCCAAGGGCTGGAGCCCTCTGCTCTAGAGCCAGGCTGTGAGAGCTGGGGGTGCTCCCCTGGAGAGGAGAAGCTCCAGGGAGAGCTCAGAGCCCTTCCAGGGCCTGAAGGGGCTCCAGGAGAGCTGGAGAGGGACTGGGGACAGGGGATGGAGGGACAGGACACAGGGAATGGCTCCCAGTGCCAGAGGGCAGGGATGGATGGGATACTGGGAATTGGGAATTGTTCCCTGGGAGGGTGGGCAGGCCCTGGCACAGGGTGCCCAGAGCAGCTGTGGCTGCCCCTGGATCCCTGGCAGTGCCCAAGGCTGGGTTGGACAGAGCTTGGAACAACCTGGGATAATTGAAGCAGGCATGGAACTGGTTGGTCTTTAAGGTCTCTTCCAACCCAGACCATTCTGTGATTCTAAGCCTGTCCTGAACACCCAGTTCAGGGCAGCATCTCCAGTGTCCTGGACAGCTGCTTACCGATTAATAAAGCCCTGACAGGACCAGTCATCTGTTTTAAATAAAACAAAACTGTTCTGAGCAGAGCCTCTGGGACGTACTTGGTGTGTGGGATGGGAAGGGCCACGGCCAGGGCTGCAGCTGGGGCTCCTGCCAGGAGTGACTCCCTCTGAACGTGGCTCTGTCCCCTCTGTGACACTGCATCGAGTGAATTGCCATCGTTCCTCTCCTCTGTGCCCACAGGGAAGCCTGGGGGACGGTGGCGACGAACCCCGTGGCAGATAAAACTGAGGGTGCAGCAGAGCCTGTGACCTCCCTGCTGTCCCTGCTCGCTGTCCTGCCGTGTCCTGCCCTCATCTCCTCTTCTCGCCGGCAGGGCCAGGGCAGAGTCCCGCGGTGCTGGAGCATCTGCCAGCAGCGAGCAGGGGGCCGCTCCGGGCTGGACAGCCCCGGCTGCAGGGAGCCTCGGGGAGCAGGAGGAGGGTCAGCCGTGCCCGAGTGAACGGGAAAGGTGAGTGAGGGGCGTGGGAGGGGCTCTGGGCCAGCCGGGGTCAGCCCTGGCCAGGGCTGTGTGGAGGGGCCACCACGGGCAGGGTGGGGATGCGTGTCCAGCAGCCTGGGCTGCTGGGAGATCTCGTTCTTTTTCAACGCGGAGAGATGTGGGACAGCCCAGCCTTTGGGGAGGGTGTTTTCCCCCAAGAACCATCTCCATCATTCCTCCACAGCCTCCGGAGCTGGTGCTCAGCCCTGGTGCCTCCCGGTGAGCTGTGGTGCAGCACCCAGAGCCGGTGGGTGCACTCCCAGCTCCTGGGTGATGGAAAGGGCCGCTCTGAGCTCTTGCAGGGTGACCCCATAAGTCTGGGGGAGCTGCGTGCCTCTTTCCTTGTCACATGAGAGCCAAACAGGTCACCCATGCCGTGGCATCCCCCCAGATGCTCCGGCTCACCCTCCCAGACCAGTTTTGGCTGCAGGAAGGTCCCCAGGGTGCCGTGCCTGCTCCTGCGGCGGGACAGCTCCTTCAACAGCCGCGGATGTGCCAGCCAGCCCGCACGGCAGCGCCAGGGATGCTGACAGCACGGAGGGGATTCCCTTTCTCCTGCGTCTCATTCCTGCGGCCCCAGCGGCAGGGTGGCCGCGGCTCCGGGATCCCAGGGGAGGGCAGGGGATTGTCCCCACCGTGGCACTGTCCCTACCCTGGCACTGTCCCCGCCCTGGCACTGTACCCACCCAGGCTTTGTCCCCATCCAGGCACTGTCCCCAACCTGGCACTGTCCCCACCTATCTTCACAGCCCCTAGACAGAGGCAGCAGCTTGGAAAGGCTGTTTGCTTACTAGAAAAGCTGCATTTCCCCCCAAAGTCTGGCAGGCACTGTCCCCACCCTGGCACTGTCCCCATCCAGGCACTGTCCCCACTCTGGCACTGTCCCCATCCAGGCACTGTCCCCACTCTGGCACTGTCCCCATCCCGGCACTCTCCCCATCCAGGCACTGTCCCCACCCTGGCACTGTCCCCATCCCGGCACTCTCCCCATCCAGGCACTGTCCCCACCCTGGCACTGTCCCCATCCAGGCACTGTCCCCGTGGCACTGTCCACACCTTGGCACTGTCCCTACCCTGGCACTGTCCCTACCCTGGCACTGTTCCCCCCCCGGCACTGTCCCCACCCTGGCACGGTCCCCACCCAGGCTCTGTCCCCACCGTGGCACTGTCCCCACCCTGGCACTGTCCCCATCCAGGCTCTGTCCCCATCCAGGCACTGTCCCCACCCTGGCACTGTCCCCATCCAGGCTTTGTCCCCACCGTGGCACTGTCCCCACCGTGGCACTGTCCCCACCCAGGCTCTGTCCCCACCGTGGCACTGTCCCCATCCCGGCACTGTCCCCACTCTGGCACTGTCCCCACCGTGGCACTGTCCCCACCGTGGCACTGTCCCCGCCCCGGCACGTCGCCGCAGGTGCGGTGCCCGTTCAATCCGTGGGGCCGATGGGAGCCGCTCCATTCAAACTGCGGCGGTTGTTCCGTGTCCCGTTCAAACCCCGCTCCCGCGGGCTGGGCAGGCTCAGCTCCAATTAGCGCGGCTGCTAATTGGAGGCGCCGTGCCATGGAGGCTGGCGGTGTGCGCAGGGTCTCGCTCTGCTCCCGCCGGCCGGTCCCCTCCCGGTCCTTCTGCCTCTGCACGTTCGGTAAGGCTCGGGGAGCCCGGGGCTTGCCGCCCGGCCGGGACCGTGGCAAGGGGCTGGCGAGCTGCTGCTGCCAGGAATCGGGCCCGGGAGCAGCTCCTGCCTCGCTGAGCCGCGATAATGCCTGGAGCCAGGGGTGGGAGCGCTCCCCCGGCGTCCCCCCGAGCCCGTTCTGCCCCTCGGATGGAGACGGGCTGGGGTAGGGCTGGCTGGAGCTGTGCCCCCGTTAGGGCTGAGCCCCGGGTTCCCCTTCTCTCCTCGAGGTCTCTCGGCGGCTGCCTCGGGTGCGCAGGGTGGGTTTTGGTGGCCCCGGGCAGCGCTGGCTCTGCGGGTGCAGCGTGCCCGGCCCTGGCATTCCGAGGGAATTTGGATGTCTTAGGGATGTCCTGGCTGCTGGTGGTGTGTGATGGCTGGGCAGCAGTGTGGCACACAGGGCAGCTGGGTGCCCCTTCTGGGTGCTGCTTTCAAAGCAGCAGTTTTGTTTTCTTTCAAAGCTTCTCTTGCTCTCCTGAGCAGAGCGGGTGACCATGCAGTGAGCTCTTTCCTAGGGATGTTGATCCTTCCCAGGGAACTGCATCCCTTCCCAGGGATGCTGTTCCTTCCTCTTTGCCCCTGAGGACAGCCTGGAAGCTGAAATCCTTCTGTCTTTGTAGGATATAGGCCAAATAATGTGGGTTCTGTGGTGCCTCCTGGCTCTGTAACCGAGTCCAGGCCAAACATCCTCTCTGCAGCCAGTTCCCCTCATGGGCTGAGCATCGCTGGTGAGATGTGGAGTTGTGTTCTGAGCTGCAGAGCCTGGCAGGACAGGGCCAGCACTGCCCTCTCACTGAGGGTGACTAGGAGAGAGTCTCCCAAAGGGTTGGTGCCAGGGCAGAGATGGTAGATGATTTTGGGGTGCCTTGTGCCCATGGGAACCTCCCACCCAGGCAGGATCTGACACTGTGTCCTCTGGCAGGAATCCCCACTGGCATTTGATAGATGGTTCTTGGCTGTCCCAGCCAAAAAACACTGTGTTTTTCCTACAATAAAGCAGAAAAGTATTTAAGAAGAACTCAAAATTTTCCATTTTCCAATTTCCATTTGTCAGAGACCATCAGTAAGGAACAGGTTTCCCTGCTAGAACTGCTTCCATAGAAGGTTGCCCTGTCCCCTCCCTTAGCCTGGCAAACTTCTCTCATGGGTGGGAACCTATTTGATTACCATCTTGTGCTTGTTCATACCCATTTTCCCCTGTTCTCCTTGTGCCAGCTTTGTTCCTTGGCATGAATTGCCTCTCCTGGCCCTGTGGGTCCAGATGGATGGGGCTGGGAGCTCTCTGTGTTGCATCCCTGCAAGCCTGGCTGAGTCCTGCTCTGTGGTGGGATGTTCACCCAGGAGCTGCATGTGGGTTCTCCCTCTGCCCTTCTTCTGCACTTAATTTATATTGACCTTTATTTAACAGAGAGGACTTGGACAAGCTGTGGCAGGGCCTCTCTGCTGTTTCCCTCAGTTCTTGTTAGGGATGTATCAGTAGATGAATCCAGGGGAAAAGATTTCTCTGACTCTCTGCACTTGGATTGAGGTGGGAATGCAGCCCATGAACCTGCCTTGACAGGGATTGTGTTCCTGTCCACCCAGGTGTGGCACCAGGTCACTGCTCTGCTCATCTGACAAAGTGCCCCAGCTCTGTCTGGGCACAGACCTTGGCACAGCACATCCCTCCCACCAGCTTTGGCTGGATCATTCTTCCCAGAGCAGCTTCCCTCTCTGATCCTGGCCCTACACAGGCCAGTGATGCCTCCCAGGCATGAGCAGGGGTCACACAGCAGCTGGGGTGTGCTGGAGGTTGTGATTTGTCCCTTCATGTGCTTGGGAGACACTCGGCAGCAAATGCATTGAGAGGGAAACGTCCTCTGTTCCTCACAGAGAGCACCTCAACTCCCAAACCCTGCTGTGGCCAATTTGTGTTTCTCCCCAGAAAGGCAGAGCTGCCCCTCTTCTCCCTGCTCTCCTCTCCTTGGTGCTGGGGCAGCCTGTGCCAGGGGCCCTGTCCCCACAGCAGTGACACCCATGGGGCACGGGGTGGGGTGACCCCACTGAGCACAGCCTTGGTCCCTGAGCTGCCAGGAGCAGCCCCAGCCATCCCCAGGCCAGGACAGTCCCCAAACTGGCATTCCCCCAAATGATCCAGCAAAAAACTTCTCCTCTCCCTTCATCTCCCCTGACTCCTCCTCATGCTTGGCTGCACCAGGGCAGTTTCCTTTCATGTTGTGACATCTGCTGTGTGCCAACAGCGGAGCGGGCAGCGGCTGTGGGGCTGGGGTGCCTCTCTGGGGTCTCTGGGCTCGGTGGGGGGATGAAAACAGGCTTTGCCCACGGTGGCAGAAGGTCCTGGGGCATTGTGTGCTCCCAGTGCCAGTGTGGATGGGCAGTGTGAGACTGGAGTTGGTGAGGATGCTGGAGATGGGTGGGGAGGCTGTAGGAGGAGGGATCCTGGCACAAGGGATGTCACTGCCTTGGGCAGGGGCACAGAGTGGCAGCGACTGGGGGTGCACAGAGGTGTCCCCAGAGGGTTCCCACAGCCCCAGAGATCTGCAGATGGCAGAGGGGTTCCAGCCTTGTGCCCAAAGCCTGGAGTGGAAGGATGACACTGGGGGACAGCGTTCTCTCTGTTGCAAACCAGTGCTAGATCTGTCCTGACTCACCCACCCAGCTCCAGCCTTTGCTCTCTCCTTCCACTTGTACAGATGCACACAGACACAATTCCCACGTGTCCATGCACATGTGAGCTGTTCAGTGGTTGGCCTTTTTTTTTTTTTTTTTTTTAGTGAAAAAATGTGTTGTCTGAATTGTTTCAGGTTAAACAATCCCATCAGATATCCCCTCCCAAGCAAGGCCAAGCCCTTGGGTGTGTCTTTGGCAAAATTAAATGTTGAGTTTTAACTTGCAAGATGTTTATGTGTCTGTACATTATGTTTACTTGCCTGTAAATGATGTTTACTCACTTTGTTGTGTTTTGTAAACTGGGGAAGAAATGAAAATGGGATCTTTTGCTTTGGGGAAACTAAGGGAAACATTGCAGCAGTGATGGTTTCAGTTCTTGGATTCTCCAGGGATGTTGGGAAATGTTTAGTTTTGGGTCCATCCAGAACAGTTACATGATTAGAGAGCCTTCATTGCCATTAAAATCTGCACATCCTTTTGAGGCTGTCAGGCCCAGGTCCCGGGGAACATTTTGGGAGGACCCAGAGGGGAGGCAGCTCACCCTGCACCCTGTAACCATCACACCCCGACCCCGACAAACACCATGGGCTGAGTCTTCGTGCCAGTCTGAGCCTTGTGGGGGGATTCCTGGGCTGGTGCAGAGCTGCCAGTGCATGGAAAAGCGAGGGAATGGGTGTGAGCAGGCTGGCAGAGCAGCGGTGCCACCCTGGGTGCTGTTCCCTCACCCAGCAGGGCACAGCTTGGCTCTCCCAGCACTGACCTGTGCAGGGCTGGGGCCAGGGGGTGTCAGTGCCGACCTCCAGCCTGAGCCCTGTGAGCTGGGATGTTTCCCTCGCTCCCTGCCTGGGGGGGAAGGCAGGATGTGTCTGGCCCCGTGTGAGCCTTGCAGCTGTGGAGTGGGCGAATCCTTCAGCCTGTCCTTCAGCCTGTCCTCTCCTGTCCCCTCCTGTCCCCAGGCCAGCTGAAGCTGTCCATCGAGGTGCGGGGCCGGACGCTGGTGCTGCATGGTGAGTGTGTCCCTGGCACATCCCAACCTGGAGCCCTGCCTGAGCTCACCTGGGTCGGGGGTGGCTCCGTGTGCTGGAAAAGTCTCTCCTCCAGCCCGAGCTTCCAAAGAAAGGCTCAGCAGTCTCTGTTGTTTGGTCTCAAGGCAGTTTATTGCGAGTTATCTAAAAGATTTTCTCCTGGGGCTGCTGTGGTTTGCTCCCAGCTCAGGCAGAGGCACACACACACCCTGACATCTTCTCTGACCCCGACTGCTTCTTCTCTCCCCGCCAGGGCTGCTGCTGTCTTTTATATGGTACATTACGTGTTACATGGTTACAGTTTTTCCCAATGCCTATTACCTATATTAAATGGTGATTTTCTATCTTTTATATGGTACATTACGTGTTACATGGTTACAGTTTTCCCCAATGCCTATTACCTATATTAAATGGTGTTTTTCTACTCTAAACCAATCTGTGAGTGCCAACATCACCAAGAACATGGAGGTGAGGAAGGAGAGAGAGGGAGGACAGGGCAGGCCCAAATCCCAAATCCATCTTAAACCCTCTGACTCCCATGTACAAAACCAAAATCCCCCTGTACAGCACTCAAAAATTCTTCCCTCTACTTTGTGACCACTTCTACTCTAATATCTAAACTTTTGTGACTTGTTCTTCCTTCAAGGTTGGTAAATCATTCCATAGTTCAAATCCAAAATCGCAGCTGTTTCCAGCTGCCTGCCAGGGTCTCAAATGCTTCTGACCTGGGCCTGGAACCTCCGAAAATGTCTGAGGGACATTTGGAGTTCCAACAGAGCCACAGCAGGCTGGTGGTGGGGACAGCCTTCCTTCTTCCTTCTTTTCCTGTTGGGAGCAACCTTGTTGTGCAGTGGCACAGTTGGGGGCTCTTTGATTAAGAGACCAAACTGAAATTTCCAGAGACCTTCATGTGTTTGCACCCATGTGTATAAATTACTTTTCTTTTGTTCCATATGAAGTGAAAAAAGGCAAATACAATTTGGAAATGAAAGTCTGAAATGCTTTATCTCTGCCAAAACCCTTTTGCCATATTTGCTAGGATTTCCAAACTGTTCTGTTACCTCCAAATGCTGCAGTTTTAAACACCAGCAATATTTCTTCAGTTAAAGTGTTTTGATAGGGATTATCAGAGAGGCCAATGGGAGTGTCAGAATGATCTCTTTTTTTTTGTTTTTGGGAAACACCTGCCTGAGGGTCTGGCACAGGCTTTACCCTCCACCTGCATGAGCTGGGTGTGAGTGATTGGGTCTTGTTCTGATGGTGACTCCACAAAAGGTTCTGGGAAGAGGGAAATGGGGGCAAAGGAGGCTCAGGGTCTGGGGCTGGACATGGTGCATGTTCAGGGTTCTCAGCGTGGGCAGGAGGAGTCTGTTGGTGATATGGGTGACCCAGCTGACTTTTTGATTCTCCATCCCAACATCTTTAACCCCAGAGCAGGTGTGGCTGGAGGAGGAGGCCCTTGGTGCACGCTGTCCTGGAGGAACCCTACAAACCACCTCCTGAAGCACCAGAGGGGCTTGCAGAGCCCCTTTGCCCCTGTGCCCTGGGCTTTCCATGGGCTTGGTGTGTTCCTTAGGAGCACAATCTGCTGGCACAGAGGCAGAGCCACTGCTGCCCTGCTGGGCTCGTGGGGAGGGAGCTTGGCTTTGTTCTGAGAGCCCATCCTGTGCTCTGCAGGCTCTGCTGCGCGTCCTGGCACATCCCTGGCACATCCCTGGCACATCCTGGCACATCCCTTGCCTCAGGCAGCCACAGGGTCCCAGCAGTGGGGCCGAGCAGTGTGGGGCAGTGTCAGGGCAGTCACTGCAGTGTCAGTGTTGGGGCAGTGTCACTGCAGTGTCAGAGCAGTGTCAGGGCAGTGCCAGGATGGGCTGTTGATATTTAACTGGAGCATCCATTTGGCTGCAGGGGAAGGAGAGCAGGGCTGAAGTCAGGCCAATTTGTGCCAGCTGGATGCTGAACTGCTGTGCCACCGACCTCAGTCCAGGCTGCATTTATAGCATGGGTGTGTTAAAGGGAAGGTACCATCAACCCCTGCCCCTGTCTGAGGGGGTTCTGCCCCACAAGGAGGGATCAGTCTGTGGGGCAGAGCACTGTGGGCTAGGAAGATGCCTTCCCTGCTGCTCTGGGGTGTGACCATTTCATTTCCTTTCCAGTCATGGAAGCAAAAGGTCTGATGGGAGCAGAGTGCCGTGCGTGCGACTCCTATGTGAAGGTGGGTTCTCCTGGGGCTTTGCTCAGGGAGCTTTGTGCTTTTTGGGGAGAATTTTGTGGCTGGCTCCCCCAAGCTTGCTCTGTGCTGTTTTTCCCTTCCCCTTTCTTCTCCATCCCGCTCTGGAAGAGCATCCCCAGCATGCAGGGAGCTGGCTGGACTCTTGCCCAGCGCTGGACGGCTCATGGGTTTTGTTGGCAGTGTCTGGATGAAGTAAAAAAGGGGAGGACAGGACCCTGCTGAAGGCTGTGTCAACTATTCCTTGCAAGAACATCCCAGTGGGTGCCCAAAGCCTGGTGGGGATGTTTGCTGGCACAAACAGGGTGGGTCTTCTGCTGGGATGTGCACAGTGCAGGAAGCAGCTCTCCTGAGAGGGGGTGTAAGTCAGACCCCAGCCAGCCACACTTGTGTACATCACTCCTGATTTTTCTGCTCTTTTCCCTCCCTCCCCTACCCCAAGCAGTTTTGTAATGCAAATACCTGAGAGGCAGAAGGGTGGAGTGATCCCAACCACCCATTATCACGGGCTCAGCAGGATCTTTGAGCTCGGCCATCCCTACAAGTGCCTGTGCCAGCGTCCTGCCATGGCAGCTGGGGCTGGTGTGTGCTCTGGGAATGTTTACATGCTGCATGTTTTCCTCCCAAAGATGTCCATTGTGCCAGATGCTGACTGGAAGTGCAGGCAAAAGACGAAGACAGTGCCAGACAGCAAAAATCCTGTGTTCCATGAGCATTTTGTGTTGTGAGTACGGCAGGGCAGAGGCAGCTCTGGGCCATCCCTCAGCACCGTGTCACACAGAGCAGTGGGGACCCCGTGCCACAGTCCCAGGGCTCCCTCCCCACACCACAACCCTGTGTTTGCTTTTGCTCTGTGATCTCTAATAAACACGCAGCACGCCTGAGCAGCTCTGCTGCTGAGATGAGAAGTGACAGCCATTATTCTGCTGGTTTTTGTAGCTGAAGTGCCTTGAACTTTTGGGCAGAGCTCTGCAGAGCTGCCAGCACACACAGCATGGCAGCGCTGCTCCTGCATGCTCAGACTGTCTTGCTGGGCAGGAGTTGGACAAACACACTCTGTGTCCTAGACCTGGCACCTGCAATAGTGTGACTGAGGAAGGTAAAAGGGTTTCCTACAGCTCCAGCATGTCTCTGCATGGGAGAGGAGCTGCATGACTTGTGTTTGTGTAGAGCTTGTCACTGCTGGTGATGGAGGCTGTGCCAGCCCTCTGACCCATGCAGCGCTGGATTTGGCACAGGGTGGTGGTTTCAGAGCATGAACTGTGGCTTGTTCCTTGCATTTACCCTTTGGTGTTGGATGTGTCTTCCCTGCAAGGTTATTTCCCCCCTGAAACCACATGAGTGGTATCCTCACACCTGCCCAGGAGAGGTCCCATCCCCTTGCAGGTGTCTGTCAGGAATGAGCAGATTGCTCTCTGGGGAGGTGCTGCAGTGCTCTGTGCAGACACTGCAGGAGAAGACCTGGCTGTGAGGAGGCTGAGGAGTCTGTGGCTGTGAGGGCAGCCCTTGCTGGGTGCTCCTGGGGAGGCTGATGGGCTCTGCCCTCTTGTTCCAGCCCAGTGAAAGAGGAGGATGAACAGAAGCGTCTCCTGGTCACAGTCTGGAACAGAGAGAGGAATTCCAGGTAAGGGGCTGCCAGCTGTTCCTTTTCAGATCTGTTCAGGGCTGTTGTGGCAGAGACTCAGCCCCTGCTCTGGTCACCCCATGTGAGCTCCTGCAGGGCCCTGGGCCCCATGGCTGTCCCTGACCTCGGGGCTGCTCTGCTCAAGGGCTTGGGGCCAGGGATGTCCCAGCTGGGGTCACACTCGTGGGCAGCCAGTGCTGGTGAGCATCATGGGCAGCAAACCCTGCCCTTGGCACTCTGTTGCCATCAGTGCTGCTGGCAGCCTCCCGCTGGGCCAGCATTTCAATCCCTGTGGCCACTCATGCCTGCATTGTTGGCCAGAGCCCGGAGGGGCTGGAGTGGGCTGGGACCTCCCCTCCCTCTGGGGACAATTCAGCGAGGACACCAAGGGGCCTGGCACCTTGCAGGCTGTGCTGCCAGCCCAGGCAAGTGCCACCTTGGCCAAGCTCCTGGCAGCACCAGGTGGGCTGGAGGTGACCAGGAGGCTTCAGCCCAGCTCCTCCTTGCCCTGCAGATGTGCTTACACCGTGTCTGCTCAAACCACGGAGCAGGGGCACGTCCTGGGCACTGCCTGGCACCCAGCATGGGTGGAGATGTTGGGGGCTCCCTGAACAGGGTTGCAAGGGGGATCCTGGTGCTCCAACAGGCGTGTGCTGACAGTCCCTGAACTCTGGTTGTCCTGCAGGCAGAGCGAACTGATCGGCTGCATGAGCTTTGGTGTGAAGTCCCTCCTGTCCCTGGACAAGGTACCTTCGTGTCCCAGGGCAGATTGTGGGGCTGGGGGTGCCTCTCTGGGGTCTCTGGGCTCGGTGGGGGAATGAAAACAGGCTTTGCCCACGGTGGGAGAAGGTCCTGGGGAGTTGCCTGCTCCCAGTGCCAGTGTGGATGGGCAGTGTGAGACTGGAGTTGGTGAGGATGCTGGAGATGGGTGGGGAGGCTGTAGGAGGAGGGATCCTGGCACAAGGGATGTCACTGCCTTGGGCAGGGGCACAGAGTGGCAGCGACTGGGGGTGCACAGAGGTGTCCCCAGCACATGCTGCCTGCCCAGTTTGCAGCAGGGGGGGACACAGGACATGGGGCCAGCCTGGCATGGGTCACATCCGACACGTGGGTGAGCAGGGGTGATGGAGGGACACATGCAGGAGCCTGCCTGATTCCCAGCAGTGTGCTGCTGGGCAGAGGGCAGACTCGGAGGTTTTTTTGGCTGTTCCTGCAGGAATTCTGTGCCAGAATCCCCGTCCCTGCTGCGGCAGGGTTTGGTCACAGTGCTGCTGCCCCAGCCTGGCTGCTGCTCGTCAGTGCAGCTGGCTCTGCCTTCCTCGGGCTCCCCACGACCTCCAAAGCCTGGGAATGCTCCATCCCGTGGGAATGCTCCATCCCGTGGGAATGCTTCATCCCGTGGGAATTCTTAATCCCATCCAGTGCCCAGCGGGGAGGGGTTCTGTCCCTGGGCAGCAGAATATCTTGGCAAGCTGGGGGTTTCATGGAAGAGTTAATACATCCCCTGAGCTCACAGAATCACAGAATATCCTGAGCTGGAGGGAATCCACAGGGAACATTAAGTCCAACTCCTGCACAGACAATCCCACCTGGTGCCTGAGAGTGTTGTTCAAATACTCCTTGATTTTTAAAATTGTCTTGCCTGAGGTGTGGATGTTTTCTTCATAGCAGGAGACTGAAAAGGAGCTGGTGGTGGTGGTGGCCTGAGAGGTGGGTGAGAGGTGGCTTAAGCATGGCCTCCTCTGAAATTTGGGCAAGTCAGGTGCAGCTTTTTTAAAACTGTGCTGCTTGCAGGGCCTCAGCAAGGCTGAGTTGAGGTCCTGTCCCCTGGCTGCTGCATGAAACTGCTGGATATCCCTCTAAAAACCTGGAATCTTTGTGCTTCAGTGTCACTCATTCTCCCCTTGCAGGGAGGATGGAATTTTAGCTGTTGCTGAGAGGACTGTGGGCTGTGTGTGTGTGTGTGTGAGCAGGTCTGGGCACCTCTGTGTGCTGTAACTGGGGCAGCTCCTGCCCTGGCTGGGTGCAATGGGGCTGAGCAGCTGCTTCCCTCCCCACAGGAGATCAGTGGCTGGTATTACCTCCTCGGGGAGGACCTGGGCAGGACCAAGCACCTGAAGGTGGCCATGAGGAGGCTGAAGCAGAGCACAGGTGTGTCCCACCACGGGAATATCCCAGGGGGTGTTGGCAAGGCTTGGAACAGGAGTCACTGCTGTGTCTGAGCCTGTGTGTGGAGCAGCTCCAGCCCCACTGCATCCTATGCCCCAAGGGCACTACTTGGCCCTGTGGTGCTCAGTGGGCACTAGCATCCCAAAATCTTGTGGGGTGGGGATTTTGGCTGGTTCTCAAGTCCCTGCTCTCCCCTTCAGCCTCACTTCTGGGGCTCTTTGGGGACCCCAACCCTGCAGCTACATCTCTCCTTACTTGGCTTGTCCTCATGCTGCCTCCTGCCTCTCAGACTTGGGGCTCATTGCTGTGGCCACACTGGTCTGCCTTGGTCTTGCAGTGCTGCCAGGGTGTGGAGGAGCAGAGGCTGGCACAGGGCAGGGTGGGGCAGCAGTGCCTGCCTGAGGTGTGCAGCCACCCTAGAGCTGCTGCCTGGAGGGGATGTGCCCATGCCATGGAAAGGTCTCAGGTGCAGTGGGGGATTGTCAGATGTGCTGTCACACTCATGGGGCCTTTGCCTTTTTAAAAAAATATTTTTAAAATCATTTCAGAAGTCAAGCCAGGAAGTCAGAGTGCAGCCCAGGAGAGCCAGGACACTGTGACCCTGCAGCAGCTGAAGGTGGGTGTGACAGGGCTGTGACCCACCAGCACGGGGAAGATGTGGGGTCAGGTGCCTGCTCGAGGGGTTTCCAGAGAGCCAAGGGACAGTGTTTTAGTGAGGGTGACGCTGAGGTGAGGGAGCTCTGTCACCTCCCTGTCACACCATGGCTGTCACAGGCAATTTGTTACCCCAGTCAGGCCCCAGCTGGTGGAGGGGGTGATTTGGGTGCTAACCCCCATTGCCCCAGGGACCTCGTGTTTTCTGGTGTGTTCCCACTCCAGACAAAGCAGCAGCACTGCCTGGGATGGCAGGGCTGGGGCGGACGGGCTCCTGCCCCACAGCATGGGCCCCTGCCCGGCTCCGTGGCTCCTTGGACATGTCTGCTCCTCTCCTCCTTCCAGGACTGTGCTCTGGGAAGGGAAAGGCCCACGGTGGAGCCTGGGTGATTTATAGGAGAGGCAAGGATGGGAAACGGGAACACAAACACATGGGTTGCATCGGAAACGGGGCTCGGGCGGCCCCGTGATTTATCTGTGCCGAATTCCGCCCCGTGCTTCCCTCAGCTGCATTTGCAGTTATTTGTTTTACAGCGCAGGGCTGAGCAAGACAAACAAAGCCAGCGCCCCTCTCCTCCCTTCCTCTCCGGCAGTCGCCACTGACTTGAAAAGTGGTGGCTGGGAAGGAAGGCTGCTCCTCCTTCCAGCTCCAGCTCCAGCTCCAGCTCCAGCCTGGCAGTGCAGCCGCCCGGGACAATGCTCTGATGGCTCTGCCACCACTCCCCTGGGAGTGCTGAGGCTCCTCAGCTCCCTCTTTGGCCTCCCTGGCCCTGCCGCCCCAGCTACTGTGCATGAGAACTTAGACTTGGGGTTCCTTCCAGCCTTTCCTCCTTTTTCATCCCCCTGTAGGAGTGTGGAAGGTGTTTTCTTCTTTCTGGGAACCCCCTCTCCAGGGAGTTGTGCCCAGCTCTGGCACTGGGCAGCTGAGCCTTTCTGGGTATCCTGCTGCTGCCTGTGCTCAGAGTTCCTCTTGGCCTTTAATTCCCAAATTCCACCATGGATGCAGCTCAGTTGACCTCGGTGCTTCCCCCTCGGTGACTTTATGAGCACAAAGAACGGGGACGTGCATATCCTCTGCATCTGTGCTTTCAAAAACAAACTTTTTTCTTCTTTTTTTTTTTGCTTCTATAAACCCAAACCTCTGATTTTTTAATGAGCGTGGAGTCGTGCCTTTCATGGAGCGAGGCTCTCACAGCCAGTGCCTGTGAAACGCCGCTCAAACATCCTCCAAGTGTTTGTGAGAACGTCGCAATAACAAAGTGCTCCGTGCGCCTGAAGAATGCCACGGGAACAAAAGCCACATCAACAGAGCTGGGACTGGGGAATACTAAAGAGTTGACAGGAATTTTAATATAAAACTCTCTCCCTTCCTCGTCAGCGAGGGTTTTCAGGAAGCCTCTGGCTTATCGTAAAGCGGCATACAGCGCTCGCGGGGGCCGGGGAGGTGAAAGGTGGCTTCCTGCCATTCTTCTCGGGAGCTGGGTTCCCATGGGCGGTCATGCCAGTTTGACTGGGGCTCCTTCCACTGCGAGGAGTCCGGGATCGCCGCGGGAGCCGCGGGGCGTTCATGGGCTCCAGCCATGAACCGCTTCAATGGACTCTGCAAGGTGTGCTCGGAGCGGAGGTACAGGCAGGTCTGTATCCCCTGGCACGAACCCGCGTGGCTGCGAGTTCTCTTGACGTGGCTGGATGTGGGAAATGGATCTGCAGAGAATTCTTAAAGCCTGGCAGAAAGCTCACACAGGGTGCATGTGTATGGAAACTTTGGGATAAGGAATGCTGACTTAGAAATGCCATGGAACAGGACAGACGTTGCTGAGAGAGAAATCAAACTAGAAATGAGTTTCTAAGGATGGCCTTGCAAATAAGACTAGATCCTTTGGAGAAATAGAACTATGAAAGGTATATTGTAGTAGGACCCACGAGGGGTAATTTTAGATGATTGGCTTTAAGGCATTTACAGCATGGTGTGGCAAAAAGCTGATAGGCTAAGGAACACTTATATTGTATTGTAATTAGGAAATAATTAGTTTTTGATTGTGATGGCGTGAATTATAACATCTATATTGTCTCACCTTCACATGAGACTGAAAATGGAATGAAAGTTTTTAAAACGCCTCTCGGTTGCCCCATCTCTGGGTCAGAAAAGGGCTTAATCTGACAAATGGACTCTGTGGGTGCTGCTTGTGAGGCATCGACTTGATACCGTTACAATTTGTGAATTACAGTGAGGGTAGAAGGAAAGCATCCTCACATGGGTGCCTGTGGCTGGTCTCTGCCTGTTGCTGCAGTGGAGAAATGGGCAGGGAGGGGTGCTTTTTAACTAGATACAAATTATTAAAATATATAAATATATGTAAATATAAAAAATATTTTTACTGTCCAACTTGCAGGTAGCATGATGACAATGACTGTGTTAAGCTGCAAGGTGTTGTCTTAATTTCCCCCTTATTAGAGAAGAAGCAGGCACAGCAGGCTGTTACTGCCTCTTTTTAAATGATTTTAGTGTTTTTGGGAGCCAACAGCTCCCAACAGCTTGCTGTACTGGTTCCAGGTCTCCCAGTGCACAAAGCCAGGTGCTGCTTTTCTGTGTGCAGGTCCCAGTCTCCTGCATTTCAAGGAAATATTCTCTCTGTGGACTTCATTGGGACTCCCAGCTCAGGGTCAGCTTCTCCCTGGGCTCCTGAGCTCATTGTTCAGGTTACTCCAAAGCTGCTGTGGGGGACAGCAAATACTGGGAATTACAAAAGCAGTGGAATTCCAAACCCAGCTGCCCCGTTCTTGCCAGGGCTGTGGTGACCATCTTGTGCAGGAAAGCTGCTCTGCCTTGGCTGAATAACAACTGACTCTGCTTTGTCTCTTAGAGCTCCTCAGGTCTTTATTTTGAAAATTTCCTCTGCGTTTTTTGGCCAAGTTTGGGTACATCAAGCCTCCCCACCCACCTCCCAGCTCATGGCAGGTGCTCACAGTTTTTTGCTTCTGTTCATGGCAGCAAAAATGGGCAAGAAATGGGCAGTGACTGCCTGTGATGGCCCCGGTGGTGGGAGCTGAGGAGCAGCAGCAGGGAGAAGCTGCTCTCCAGTGGCACAGGGCAGGTGGGGGCAAGGTCAGCCAGCTCAGGGAGGAGGAGTGGGAGCCCTGACACAGGGGAAACCTTGGCTGGGAAGTGCCCGTGGAGTCTCCGTGCTGGGAGAGATGCTGGGCTGGCTCCTGAGGTGCCAGTGCTTGGTGTTGGAGATGAAATCACAGAATATGGAATATCCTGAGCTGGAAGGGACTCACAGGGACCGTGGAGTCCAACTCCTGGTTGGACTGAGCTGTGAGGTTCATTTCAAGGTTGCGGGGCCCCTTTTTTGGGGATTCGGCAACTTCCGGGGGGAAAAATAGACAGTGGAGTGGCATTGGATCTGTGTTTTGATCCTGCCAGGGCAAGCCAGTTTCTCTTTTGAAGCCTGATTTTATGCTGAGCAATCATGGAGGGACAAGGTGCAGGGAAATGAGATCTCGCTGCCTTTGCCCTCCTGTGGTAAAGGAGTGAGGAACCATATCACCTCCTTGGCAACTTCTGCTGAATTCCTCATCTTCCTTCTGCCTGTTTGTTCTCAAAATAATACAGGTCAGATGTTGGATTTTATTTTTTTTTTCTCTGTCAGTAAAACAAGCATCTTGACTAATGTCTTGGGGGCTAATCAGGTATTTACAGGATCTGTCATGCTGAGCTGCTGCTGGAAGCCAACATCAAAAAATAAGGATAATTTTATTAATAAGCTCAATGCTCCTCGAATGAGAAGGAGAAATGAGCCTAAATCAACCCAGCATCCATCCTCTCCAGCCTCAGTGAGGGAAAACACACTCAGCCCAGGGAAGGGGGAGATGCACACAGATGTCTGGAGGACAGGAGCGTGCTGAGCTCGCAGCTCCCTCCGGAGCAGGGGAGTGCTGCTATTTCTGTATTCTCCAACAGGAAATGAAATGTTTAAGTGATTTGCTTAGAGAAGTCAGTGTCAGGGCCAGACTGCCAGGTTTTCCTTCCCAGTGGTTTTTCGGCCTTTTCTTTCCCTTTGGAGGGGTTGGGGGCGGGTTTTTTGTTTTGAATTAGCACTCCTTTTGTGGCGTTCCAGAGAGCCTTGGCTCCATCTGGCACTGCCTTTTAGCACCCTTTCCCCCCATTATCCGAGGGGGTCTCAGTGGCAGCCCTTCCCCATCTCTCAAATGCCGTGTGCCAGCATTTCCAGGGGCTGTGGGGCAGTGTGGGACTGAGGGGGGATCATCACACACAGTGGCTGCTCTCCCACCTGACAGGTGTCTCCCTGCAGATCACGATCCCTCGGGGCACTGATGGCTTTGGCTTCACGATCTGCTGCGACGCCCCGGTCCGTGTGCAGGCAGTGGACTCTGGTAAGAGACTGGATCCTTTTCATTCCTCTTGATTTGAATGAATTATTGCTCCTTTTTTTGCTTCCCAGAGCTGGTTGTGGTTCTGGAGCTCCCATGCCTTGCAGGACTCTGGGTATCTCCATGAAACTTCATTAGATGAATTCTTTGTTGCCTCTAAAGAGATCAGAGGCCACTGGGTTAGCACCGTGTCATTATTTTGGCAGTTTTGCAGTAATTTGCAGAGATTTTGTTCCCTCTCCAACCTGACAACTGTCTGCCTGGTTGGTTGACCTTCAGAAATCATCTTGGGGGAAAACAGGCCAGAGGGGAGCAGGATTGTGGGAATCCTCAGTTCCCTGAGTAGAGCCTCTTGCTGGACCTGTGGGATGGGCTGGTGTCTCCAGTGTGCCCTGTTGCTCCCCACTGCACCCCAGGAAACATGTGCATTTCATGCAGTAGCTCTGAGGGAGCACTGATGGCTCTATCCTGGTGCCCTGTGTGTCTGGATGTGCTGCACAGTGAAGCTCCAGCCTGGCTGACCCCACTTCATTTTCGGGTGTGGGTGTCTGATGGGGTTTGGGGGAGTGAATGGTGCAAGCTGTGGGACTCTCTGGGTGTCTCCAAGCTCCAGGGCTTCTCCTCCCCCTCCCACTCAGCCTCCTGCCTGGCAGGTGACTGGAATTGTCCCTCTCAGGTGGCCCAGCAGAGAAGGCAGGTCTGCAGCAACTGGACACGGTGCTGCAGCTGAACGAGCAGCCTGTGGAGCACTGGAAATGTGTGGAGCTGGCACACGAAATCCGGTGAGTGCTCCCCAAAATCCCCAGGGTGGGGAGAGGTGGTCTGGGGGGAGCCCAGGGCAGGGCAGTGGGAGCATTGAGTGACTGTGGGACAGGGAAAGCTCTGAGGGATGCAGGACACTGGGAAAGGATTCCCTGGAGAAGAAGGAAGGATGGAGGGCTGGGGAGCACGGGAGAGGGATGGAGGCTTTGGAGGGAGGAAGAGCTGCAGGGCTGTGCCTGGACACGGTGCTGCAGCCCTGATTTCCCCACCCCATCTCTGCCAGGAACTGTCCCACGGAGATCATCCTCCTGGTGTGGAGGCTGGTGCCTCAGGTGAAGGCGGCCCACGAGGGCATGACCCGCAGGTCCTCCTGCAAATCCGCCTACGACCTGCAGTCCCCTCCCAACAAGCGGGAGAAGAGCGGCCCCGCGCAGGCGGAGCAGCGCCGCAGCTGCCACATCCTCTACGACGGCACCGAGGGGCTGGGGCTGCACACCTGGGACAGGTACACCGAGCTGGGCAAGCGGGGCCAGAACACCCTGCCGGCCCTGTCCCGAGTGCCCTCTGCTGCAGACCAGAACTACATCATCCTGGCCCCTCTGAACCCCGGCAGCCAGGTAGGGCTCGGGGGCTGCGTGTGGCTCTGGGCGCAGCCTCTCCTGGCCCCAGCATCATCTCTAAATATTTGCCAATTTTACTAGCCACACCTCTGTCCCTTGGTGGAGCTTTCACTGTTTTCCTAAAACGTTTCCCTGCTGCCTCCCCTCAGGGCTCACCTCAGGGATATGGGGAGGATGTGGGGAGTGTTCCCACTGCACAAGACCACACTGCAAATCACTGCTCTCATTTGCTGCTGCAAATTTTTTTTCCCCCTTTCTGAAGTGCTTTGGCTTGGCTGTGTTTGGCACGTTAACTTTTGTAGCTGGTTGCTGTCAGTGTACCTGAGAGCTGCTGCAGGTGACCGTGTCCCCTCTGTCCCTTACAGCTGCTGAGGCCCGTGTACCAAGAGGACAACACCACTGAGGGTAAGCTGTCCCTGTGCTGGGAGTGCTGCTCAGAGCACCCAGCTCCAAGCTGCTCCTCCTGGCACCATCAACTCCTTGCCCCGAGCCCTGCAGAGGGCTCATGGTTTGAGGGCAGGAACAGCAGCTCAGGGATTTTGGGTGGGATCATCTTCCCACTGTGGCTCAAACCCAAAAGCAGAGGGGAAAGAGGCATGGGGTGAGCCTCACGTGAGAGGGTCTGTGGGAGCTCACAGAGGGCTCTGCTGGTAGGGACCTCCCAGGACAGGTTGAGAGGCTCCCAGGGCAGGCTGAGAAGCTCCCAGGGCAGGCTGAGGAGCTCCCAGGGCAGGCTGAGAACATGCAGTGTGAGAGCTCTGAGCATCCTGGTTCCCACGTGTCCGTGGGCCCGTCCATGGCGTGTTTCCTCCTCAGCCATGAGGCCTTGCTGGGAGAGCTGATCCGTGCTCTGAGACTCCTTCAGTGCCCCAGGAGTGAGGGTGGCTGTGGCTCACATCTGTGCCAGCAGTTGTGCCTGATTTGGGGAATATTCAAACCCTGGGCTGCTGCAAAGTCTCTGGGCCAGCTCTCCTCAGAACACCTTTGAAACATAAACTCATAATGTGAACCACAGCTGTGACAGGTCTGTGTGGGATGCCTGAAGCTCCCTGGGATGGTTGGAGTTGTGGGAAGAGGGGGCTGAGGTGGGTGGCAGAGCTGGGCACTGCAGGAATCCAGGTGCACGTGGAAATATCCTTTGTCTGCTCATGGATTTGGGAGCTTTGGGAGGCTGTTCTTGCCCTGGCCTGTGTGGATGGCCTCAGGATGAGCTGTGTGTCCCTAGGAGAGCTGAGCTCTTGGAGGAGAGTGAACCCCTCAGCATTCCCTGTCTGGTGAGGGCTCAGCTGGAAAACTTGGTGCTGTCTCTGAGGTGGGGCAGTGTCCAGAGAAAGCTGAGCATGGGGCTGGCAGAGCACTGAGGGGAGTTGTGGGGAGCAGGAGGAGCAGTGTGGGTCAGGCCCCCATGCCTCAGGTGCTCCCAGCCCTGGAGCTCTGCAGCCAGGAGAATTTTCCACTCTCAGCTGCAGGGGATGTTTTGTTCTGTGGATAATTGCAGCTTTTTCCTGCTGTTTGTGGATCCTGTGAAAAGATGAGCTGGACCACGGGGACTTGTTCTTACAGTGGGGTGGGATTTGAAAGGCTTGGGCTTCTTCCTGTAGCAAATTTTGGATTTTTATGGATTTGTTTTTAATTATTTAATGTTCAGTTCAGAGGGAGGAAGGTATCAGTTACCCTGAGCAGGGATGAAGTGTGGCAGCACAGAGCTGCCCACCCAGTGACAGGAGCTGACATTTGGGTGTGTTTCTGTGCCAGGACCTGTGCAGGTGATTATTTCCTCTGATAAAATGAGGTGATTTAAGAATAAGAGCAAAAGCAAATCCTGAACAGCCCAGACAGATCTTATCTGGACTTTGCTAAGCTGTCTCTTGTGCTTTGATGATATCTGGCAGTGCAACCAGGAAAAAGGGAAAAGGGAAAATGTCAGGATTAATGCACTTAGAGGTGGAAACAAGCTGTTAGGTCATGAGGGTGCCCCCAGCAAAGGCAGCTGCTCCAGCCAGCAGTAAACAGCCGAGCTGGCTTCCCAGCCCAGGCTGGCTGGCTCTGCTGCCTTTATCTGGGAGTAAATGTGCTATTTCCTAATGCTTAATGGGATATGTAATGCTGGGCAGGTTTGTGTGTTTGCTTTGGACAAGGCCTTATCTGCCTCGGGCCATGGTCAGGAGTGTTTTGGCTCATTTCTGCCTGGGAAGGTTCTGGGCATCCCTTACACTGTGAGGGTAAAAGGCTCTGTGGTGGGAGCAGGAGCTCCAGGGTGGCTGCAGGGAGGGAAGGAGAGATGCTGGGTGTCCCCAGGGAGCTGCAGGAGAGATGCTCATTCCTGTCCCTGAGACATCCCTGTGGGGGGGAACGCTCCAGCTCCTCACCTGGATATGTTCAATCCCACTGGAGAGCTCTGCCTGCAGCCCCAAGCTGGCTGACTTCATCAGCTACAGGAGGAGGGAGGAAGGAAATATGTTGATTTTTCAGTGGGGTTTCTTTTGAAGATGTGCATTTTTGGTTAGAGAGCCATGCAGTTCCTGTTGGATCTGCTGCCTGTGAGTTTTAGGGCAGAGCACAGGTTGCTGGTGTCCAGCAGGATGTGGTCTGGGCTCTGCTTGAGCAGCTGAGGTGGGAGGCTGCAGGAGAAAACCTCCTGTAATCCCTCCTTTGAGTGTGGATAACTCTCTTCAGGGAAGAGGGACAGACTGAAAATCCGTCAGGCTGCTTGGGCCTTTTCCAGCCCGGAATATAATGCTGAAAAACAGGGGATGATGTGATGCCAGCCTCATGAACAGTGAGGTCATCCTTTATAAATACACCCAATGTCTGAATAACCACTGCTGACAGCAGCAGGGATTGATCCCAGCCATGCATGTTTGTAACTTCTGCCTGTTTCTCTGACACCTCCAATCTCAGTATCTTCTGAGAACTGTGATGAACCCACTGCCCCATATCATGACATTCCTGCACTTTGCTAACTTCCATGCCCAGAATCCAGAGCAGGCAGGACTTGTGTGGTTAAAAATGTTGAAGTTGCTCTCCAGCAGCTCCTTCAGGCCCTGCAGGGGCTCTGAGCTCTCCCTGGAGCTTCTCCTCTCCAGGTGAGTACCCCCAGCTCCCAGCCTGGCTCCAGAGCTGAGGGCTCCAGCCCTGGGAGCATCTCAGGTGTCTCCTCTGGAGTGGCTCCAGCAGCTCCAGCTCCTTCCTGTGCTGGGAGCCCAGAGTGGGACAGAGCAGTGCAGGTGGAGACTCACGAGGGCAGATCAGAGGGCAGAGCATGGGTGGGATGTGCTGGCCTGAAGCAGAGCTTGCTGTGGCCACCCTGGGGTCCTGTTTGCACCCTCCCAGCCATGTCTGTGCTGCTGGTGGCACCCACTGAAGTCCTCGGGCCACCAAGCAAGCAGCTCTGGGACAAAACCACCCAGGGGCCTCTTGCTTGCCATGAGAAACAATGGAATCAGTGCTGTTATTTCATGAATGCCTGGGACTCCTGGGTAGCTGAGTGATGCCTGTCCCTGCAGCTCTTGCCTCCAGCAGTTCCCCAGGATTTCCATGCCCTCCTCCAGCCTGGCAGAGCAGGACTGAGCTGGAGTGGGCAGAGCTGGAGCTCTCTCCTCATTCTGTTTCCTTCTGCCTCCTCTGTCCATCCAGGGAATGGCTCTAAAGGGAAATCCCATACGGGCTCTGGGAGGAAATCCAGGCTGATGAAGACTGTGCAGACCATGAAGAGCCATGGGAACTACCAGAACTGCACCATAGTGAGGCCTCACATCCCCCATTCCTACGGCACCTACGTGACCCTGGCCCCCAAAGTGCTGGTGTTCCCCATCTTTGTGCAGGTCAGTGCAGCCAGAGGGGGCTGGGATGTGCTCAGTGCCCAGGCTGGGGCTGGGGCTGTGCAAGGATCTCCTCCCAGCAGGATCCCTGGCATGCTCAGCTCTCCTCTGGAGCTGGCTGGACCTGGCACAGTGCTGAGGGCTGCCTCCAAAGGAATTGTATCCTGCCCAAGCAATTCTCTGTTAGATTTTTTTTTTTTTTTATTATTTTCAGCTTTCAAATCTGGCCCTTGGTACTTGCTTGGGTCAGGAGGAGGTGTCCCAGCTTTTTGGCTTCATATCTCACTTTGGAATTGCAGATCAGTGTGGTTCTTTTGATGGTTCTTTGTGCTGTCAGTGTGTGCAAAGGGGTTTATGTTAGCTGGTGGTCACACTAAAATTTGGGCAGCCTGTGCCAGGGCCTCACCATCCTCACAGGGAAGGGTTTCTCCCCAGTATCCCATCTCTTCCTGCCCTCGGGCATTCTCCTTTGTTCTGACCCTGCATCCCTTGTCCAAAGTTCCTCCCCAGCTGTCCTGGAGCAACCTTTAGGCCCTGGAAGGGCTCTGAGCTCTCCCTGGAGCTTCTCCTCTCCAGGTGAGCACCCCCAGCTCTCCCAGCCTGGCCCCAGAGCAGAGGACAAGGATCCTGAGCAGTAATAGCTTGACAAGGAATGTTCTGCCTCCACAGTTCCATGAGCTGTTTTAAGACAACAGCCCTGAATTTGGTTCTACTAGCTCTAACTCCCTCTGTGTCCTTCATTTTGTCCTTCATATCGCCAGAACCCCAAAAATCTCATCTGCTCCATGTATTTCAGTACATTGCTGATGAATCCCTTCCTTTCTGAGCCTGTGAGGAGCCCTTTGTCCTCCTGTGCCAGTGGCAGTGGCATTGTCACCTCAGCTCAGCCTGAAACCATGGTGCACATTCCCTGTCACTGCAGCCTGAGCCGTGGGCTGGGCTGGAGCTGGGGGCAGGTGTTTGATCACCTCCCTTCTCCCTGATGGCACCTGGGTGAGCCCTCAGCTTGTTTTGGCAGGAACACGACTGGCACTTTCTCCCAAACCTCATCCTGGATTGTGCCTGGGAATCTGCCACTCCAGGAGCTGCTTTTTCTCTCTGCTCTGTCACTTCTGCAGGGCCCTGTGCAGATCCCCTCCTGTTCCCACTCTGCTGCTCCCAAGGGTGGCCCAGGCTGGTGCTGCAGGGTTTGTTGTGCTCTCAGGACGCACGAGCCTGTCCCATTCTCCAGCACTGACTGGGGAGCTGGGTGTGGGACAGGGAGGGTCAGGAATTCTTAAAAGTGGCTTTGAGAGTGATGCACAGCATCAGGTACAAACACTGGTGCCTGAGGGACGTGGGAACCTGACGTGCCAGCACTGTGGTTGTGCTTCCTGCTGACAAACACCCGTAACCCCCCCGTGCAGAGCAGCCCCTGCAGAGGCAAGTGCTGCTGGTCTTTCCACAGCTGGGGCTGGTGTAGGTGTGAGTGCAAGGCTTTGTTTTCTCCTCTGGCTGGACTGCAGACTTTGCGTCCTTCTGAGCCCAGTGAGGGGTGGCTTCTCTTCGAGTGAGTTGTAGCTCGAAGACAAAGTGGGTTTGGTGGGTGGAAAATGTATCTCACTAACCACACTGCCACTGGAAGGTTTGACTGTTTCTTTTGTTTCCTTTTTTTATTTTTTCCCATCCAAATGTAGCCCCTGGATCTTTGCAACCCAGCCCGGACTCTGCTGCTGTCGGAGGAGCTGCTCCTTCACGAGAGCAGGAAAAGGAGTACACAGGTAAAACTCTTCCATGTTGTCTGAGCCATCCAAACCTGCTCTTCTGCTGTCTTACATAGAGGATTGAATTGTAGAATCATCATGCTTTGGGTTGGAAGGGACCTTAAGCCCATCCAGAGCCACCTCTGCCATGGCAGGGACCCCTCCCACTGTCCCAGGCTGCTCCAGCCCTGTCCAGCCTGGCCTTGGGCACTGCCAGGGATCCAGGGGCAGCCACATCTGCTCTGGGCACCCTGTGCCAGGGCTGCCCACCCTCACAGGGAACAATTCCTGCCCAATATCCCATCCATCCCTGCCCTCTGGCAGTGGTAAGCCAGTCCCCCTTGTCCTGGCATTCGCCACCCTTGTCCTTGTCTCCAGCTCTCCTGGAGCCCCTTTAGGCACTGGAGGGGACTTTGAGAAGGGACTGTAAGGGACACCTCATTACATGGAGAAGGGAAATGCTTCATTGTGCAGTAATTATATCGATATGATTCTTGGAAAGTTTACTGTGGGATAAACAAAATATCAAAACTCTTCTGTGCTAGAAATCAACTGTTGTTCCTGTTGCATTTGGGCTCACAGAGAGGAAACTGTGGGTGTCAAATGCATATCAGTGACAGCCCAGCAGACTCGGGAGGAGGGTGTTTAAGGATATTTTGTGCCAGGCTAGAGAAGCACAGAATGGTTCAGGCTGAAAGGTGCCACTGGAGATCATCCAGTCCCATCCCCTTGTTCAGGGATCCCCGAAGTCACTCAGGATTGTGTCCATATGGCTTTGCAGCATCTCTAGGGAAGGAGAATCCACAACCTAGAACCAGAACCAGAGAGAGAACTTGCTACAGATGTGCTCAGAATTTCAGTTCCTGAAACAGCTCACACATCCTGTTCAAATTCCTCTCGTTCTTCTTACTTCAACTTTTCTGCCATGTTATTGAAGAACTGTTGGAACTCTGGGGACACAACAGGACTTTTGCACTCTGTGGATGAGACAACTTTTACCATCCAAACTGGCAGAGTTTGGATGTGTTGATCACATTTGCTGCTGGCTTCACTTGCATCCAAGTCTACAAAGCCTTGGAATCTGGGAGAGAGGCAGAGCCCACTCATGCACTGCTAACCACTGCCATTTCTTCTGGGGTTGTTTCAGAGGATCTCACAGAGTAATTTGGGGTTGAATTCAGTAGGAGTGAACAACGTATCATCTTCACAGATCTGTAGAGGAAGTTCTTCTTCACTGGTTTTAGTTTCTGGGTGGCCAACAGCAGAAGCCCAGAGCCACTTCCCATCACTGGCCAGTACAAACCAGTAGAGGATTGTGCTAAGTGGCTGCTCTCTCTTTCTGGTTTCCATTGTGTAATTCGTCCCTTGCTTTGACTTGAATCACTTTTTTTTCTACCAAAAAGTACATGAAAATACATCAAAGTACAGGAAAAAATCCATTATTGATTAGAAAATAGCACTAACTTTTACTAAACCTCTTTCCCTGTTTGTTCTGCTTTCCTGTGCTGCTCAGACTCTCTGGGCACCTGCAGGAATGGAACCCAGGTAAACTGCTGCCTGTGTGGCACAGCTGTGCTGGGTGGCTTGGGGGTGCAGCTGAAGTCAGGGAGCTCCTCCTGGGTGGGTTGGAGGTACCTGCCTTCAGGTCAGACTCAGATATTTGGTTTAGCAGCCAAACATGGAATATTTATGGATAACTAATGCTGTTTGCAGCCTGCACAGGGTATTTGTGCATGTGGGGGGTGATGAAGAACCCCAGGACAAGTGTGTTTGGAGGAGAGCAGAGACCCCACTGTGGGCAGGGCTAGGAGGAAAACGTCTCAGGGAAAGGACTCTGCTTATGCTGGGCTTGGGATGAGCCTGGAGCTGGGAGAGGATTTCCCAGCTGGAGCTGGTGCCAGGAAAGGGCAGGATGCAGGCCAGGAATGTGAGGCAGTGTTTGGGAATGCTGGTGCCCTGGGGCTGTGGTGGCTGGGTGAGCTGGCACAGGGGCAGGGCAGGAGGGGCTGAGTCAGTGGGGTGAGAAATGAGAAGTGCTGAAGGGAAACACCCCGTGTGCTGCTGAGCCCGTGCTGGCAGTGACAGTGGAGATGGCAATACTGGGATGTCACCTGTGGCCCTTGGGAAGGGCTCTCCCATGTCTGAGTGCGTGGCATGGCCATGGAAGGCTTTGGAGCTTCAAGGAACCCGTGCAGGTCTCTCTGGAGGGCCAGGCTCCCGTTCCCCAGCAGAGCAGGACTGTCTGCTTTGGTCCTGCTGGGCTGTGAGGGGAGAGAACCTCTGCAGCCAGCAAGACCCAAAACAGCCTGGACACCACAGGACTTCCCCTGGTGCAGGAGGGTTCTGACTCCTCCCTTTGCTGGACTCCTTCCCTCTTCAGCCTTCTCTGATGCCTGGGCAGAGGTTGTCTTATGTCCAGTCAGTCCCTTCCTTGCTCCATGAGGTTTTCTGTGTCCCACTGCTCTTCCCACACAGCGTCTCTCAAGCTGGGCTCCTGTGGTTTGCAGGACTGTTCTCTGTGTGTTATTAATCTGCTTTGCCTGAGAGGCTCAAGAGAGGAGGGCCTGGGTGCAGGGGCTGGAGCTGCAGTCTGCTGCTCCTTTCTTTTTTTTCCCAAACCCCCAGAATCTTTTCCCTGTGGCAGTTTGCACATCAGGCACTGCATCCTTGCCCCGAGCAAACTCTCTCCCATCTCCTGAAGGAGTCACCTATCTCTCTGGAGGCTCGCCAGGGTCTGTCCTTTCCCTGACCTTACCTCTGGGGCAATTTTTATTCAGGCCTTAATCACATCCTGTCTAGACTTTGCTGCAATTCCCACTCTTATGGCCTCCTGAAATCTCTCCAGCCCGTGGCGTGCCAGAGGAGCCAGTGGGCGATGGCACGTGGGGTGTCCAGTGTGGCCTTTGGCCTTGTCCATCCATCTCCAGTGGACCTGGAGGCCTCCCAAAGCCCTGAGGTGTCTGCTCAGTGTGGGCCACGCTCATGCCCTTCTCATCCCTCCTGTCTGCCCCTCTGGCAGGGTCTGCAGGTCAGGATGGACCTTCTGGAGCCCTGGAGCCTCATGGATGTGCTTGGCTGCTTTATGCTCCTCTCTATAGAGCAGGATGCTTTCTCCTCTCTCTTCTTTCTCTCTTCAAGGCTGCGTTTCTGGGCACCTTTTCATAGTGATTTTGTGGCCACATTTTTCTTTCCAAGCTGTGATATTGGCTCCCTCCTGCCCAGGGCAGGGCTCAGTGACAGTCCCAGGGTTATCCCCTCTTGGGCAGCACACAGGCCTGTTGTTCCTACCTGCCCTCTTGGCTTTCAGTTTCTCCTGATTTCCCTCAGGAAACTCCTTAAACATGTCCCTGTCTCCTGCACCAGTGCTTTGCCAGTAGCTGCTCAGGTCCCTCAGCAGAAGAGGCTTTGCTGTTTGTGGTGCAGAGCACACCCAGATGAACAGTGTAGAGCTACCAGGGTCAGCCTCTATGAACAATTTCCCCCCTCCTGTAAAATCTGTTCAGACCCCCCTGAAAGGTCCATGTGACAATGGCCATATGGCCTTGTCCCTGGAGCAGTGACCCAGGGTTCCCATCCCTGTCTTCAGAGTCCTTCTGTCCTGTCAACTCTTGTGCTTCTGACTGTGGGGTGGAAATTACTTCTGGTAAACACCCAAAGCTACTTTGACCCTCCAGGGAGCAATTCTGGTGAATTCTGTGACTTGCCTGGGTGAGCCCAGACGTTGTGTTTGCTGTTTGTTTGCTCTTGGCTTTTGGGAGCCCTGTGGTTGTTCAGGGTAGATCTGTTTGCCAAGGGCTGTTGCAGACAGGTCACGGCCTGTCAGTGTGGGATGGCAGCCCAGGGCAGAGCTCCACGTTACTCCTCCAGGCTCCCCTTATCCCTGCTGCCCTGGGGTCCTCCCTGAGTCCCCTCCTCAGCTCTCAGGTGGGGGACATGTCCAGCTCCAACCTCGGGGTCTGCCAAAGGCCCAGGCCCCACGGTGCTGGGCTGCCTCTGCCTCTGTGGGTGGAAGGGGCACTTTTGTTTTTTCCTCCCAACAGTCTGGAGAAGCAGAGGGACCTCTATCAACTGCTCTCAGATCAAGTGTCTTCCTGGAAGCAGCATCTCTCAAAGATGCTCTTACAGAATCTGCTTTTACCTTTTACATCCTGAATACCATCTGTCCCATTTTCCTGTAAAAGCTCAATGCTACCTGTAAATACTTAGCCATGTAATTCCATTTCCAAGATTCCCTATTGAAACTTGCTTGGTTTTGAAGTGCTATTCCTGCTGCTCCCAATCTTTTTTCCACCCTTTAAAGTTCCACAGGTAGTAGGTTTTCAGTTTCTTTCCTCCATTTCTGTGACTGTTAGCTGATCATGTTTTTTTTCTCCTTCACTTTGTGTTGCTGTTTTCAAAATCCCTTCAGCATCTCCTCTTTGGTGTTGAGGGACCTGAGACGGCACCAGACATGTCCCAGAAAAGTTACATTTTGGCATAAAGTGGGCATGGGATGAAGGTTTCTACCTGGTTATTCCTTGTTTTACCAGCAAGATCAGAAAGAACGAAGGTGGATGTGGGCACAAGGCCAGCAGAGTGTTGAGAGCAGAGGAAGGGATTTTCCAAATAACACTGAGAAGAACATCCCCTCCCTGGTTTCATTGTCAATTAAAGCTCCACCAGCAGCTTTGTACTTATTGAGAATCCTACAAAAATGAGCTTGCACTGCAAGGAGAAATCCTGTGGCAAGGGCTTGGTTTTGGCTTTGGAGGCAGATGCTCTTCCGTGATGTGAGACTCCCCAGCATGTGACAACTGTTACTCAGCTTGTCCTTCTCAGGACGTGTCCATCAGCCACAGACACAAACTGTGCTCTTAGCTGGGACTTGGTCCCTGTGGGAGCAGAGTCACCTCTCTGTGCTCCCTCCCACTCCTCTGGGACCTGGGGTGTTGTCTCCTTTTACAAAAGCATTGCTAAAAGGCCACAAACCCTTCCTTGCTGTGGCTCAGTGTTGCAAAGCTTTCCTTTTGCTGTGGGAGGTTTTGGGGGACACCCCAAGGCCCTCATCCTGAGCAGGTCTGGCACCCACTGTGCCCTTGACACCTTGCAGCTGCTCCCTGGCATCTCTGGTGACCAGGGATGGGAGCCAGGGCACGGCTGGAGCTGGGCCAGGGCAGCTCAGGCTGGAGAGCAGGAAAGGTTCTTCCCCCAGAGGTGCTGGCACTGCCCAGGCTGCCCAGGGAATGGGCACGGCCCCGAGGCTGCCAGAGCTCCAGGAGCCTTTGGCCAGCGCTGCCAGGGATGCCCAGGGTGGGATTTTGGGGGTCTGGGCAGGGACAGGAGCTGGGCTGGATGATCCTGATGGTCCCTTCCAGTTCAAGGTGTTCTGTAATTCCATGATTCTGTGATCTCTGAGGCTTTCTGGGTGCCCCAGCTCCTGGAGGGCAGGACAGGCTCACACCTCAGCTGTGGCACCAAGCTTCTCATCCCTGGGGGGCTTCGGGGTCCAGGATTTCCAGTACAGTGGAGAAACCCATCCTTATTTTAAAGGTCCCATTAATCTGAACTGATTGGACTGGGGACTTCGGGCAAGACTTTTCCCACTGGTCTGGAGGAGCTCCCAGCTCCTGGGACACCTGGGGCACTGCTGGAGCAGAGCTCTGGGCAGACACTCAGGCCGTGCTTCCTCTCCACCCCCACCGTGGTTTGAGGTGTCAGGTTTGTCCCTTGCAGCTGCTCTCTGTGGGTCCTGCTCTTGTGAAAACAAAACTTTACTTTCTCACTGAGAGCAGCTCCTCCGTGGGGCTGATCAGAGTGATCAGATTTGCTTTCAGGCTGCAACTTCTGCGGCGTGCTGGGATTAGTCGGCAACTTATTCCCTCCTCCTGCTGTGATTTGTAACTGGTGTAAGTGGGAAGTGACAGGAGGGAGCAGGGAGGGTGTGTTTGTGTGTCGGGCAGGTTTATCCCTCCTGTCACAGGACTCCACAAGCCTCAGGAAGCGGCTGCCAAGTGAGTGGAGCCTCATCCAAAGCTCGCCGATTGCAGCAGCCATCAGTCCCTTGGGAAGGGCTGTCTGGGCTCCCTGTTGAGGCTGGTGCCTCTCCCCAGGGCAGAGGACATTTCCAGGACACTGTCTCAGTGCCCAGAGATGAGCTCCCTATAGCTTCTCCTGTGCTGCTCCTGTGCTTCCAGGTGACTCTCTTTGTCTACTCCGACCTGCTGCTCTTCACCAAGGAGGATGAGCCCGGGCGCTGCAACGTGCTGAGGAACCCCCTGTACCTGCAGAGTGTCAAGCTCCAGGAGGGTGAGTGTCTAGCAGCAATTGGAGGCATTTTGGGGGTTTTCTGGCTGCTAGCAGTGCAGGTTTCTGGCCGGCAGCAGGAGAGCACCCTGCTGTCCTGTTGCTTCCAGTGCCACCAAGCAGTGCTTCCAGGTCATCCTTCCTGGGCTGCCAGCATCACATCACCCCTGCTATCCCTGCATTCACCTGGGAGCTCCATCTCCTGGGACACCTCAGGCCCTTTCCAGCCTTTCTGGGTGCATGTCTCAGGATCTGGGCTGGCATTCCGCGAGAGGTGTCACGCTGTGACAGCAGGGACTGGCCAAGGCTGGGAGAGGGAACTGAATCCTTGAGGTTTCCCTCGTGGTGCCTCGAGGGAGTTCAGAGATTGGCTCCAAGCGTGGCTGGCCAAGCTCTGATGACCTTTACTTTGCTGCTTTGCTTTGCTACTTCTCTCTTCAGCTGCCCACGGTTTCCCTGTTGCTCACATCCATCCCCCTTGTCACCTCTCTGGGGAGGAAAGAGCAAACCCTCTGAGCAGGGCTGGGGACCTTGCCCTGACTCTGCACCTTGGCTGACATCTTTTGTGTCCAGCTGAGACCTCAGAGAGAGCTTCTAGGACGGGGTGACTGGAAATGGGTTATTTCAGGCTGTACAAAAGACTCCCTTTAGCTCCTTGTGGTCTAAAGAGGAATAAAGGAATGGCTCTACCACATCCTATTTGCTATGGTGGAGCCACTTCTTGGTCCTGGGCCCAGTTTCACCTTGTTCCTTGTGTGGTGTGGTTGCTTTTTGGGAATGGGCTGGTTTTATGTACAGTTACCTAATTGTGCCACAGCTCCTCCTCCAGCCCAGGCAGCTGCCCTGGGACCCCACAGGGGAAATCAGGATGAGATAGAGAAACTTTCTTGTCATGAGGTTGGTCAGATATTGAGTTGCCTGGAGGCATTCAGGACTCCTGAGTGTCCTGGTCTGGGTGCTTTGATCAGGGGATTGGACTCCAGAGCCCACCAGAGGCCCCTTCCAAACCAAATTACTCTGAAAGTGATGAGCCAATGTCTTTATGTAGTTTTGTGGCCCTGACCAAAAGGAATGAATCCAGATCTGGGCTGCTTTTCCATAGGAATCCTTTTCTGGGTGAATTTTGCTGCATCCTTTGACTTTTCCCAGCTGAGCCATGAGCCCTGTGGATGGACTGTGTCTCTCCACATGCTGCCTGTTCCTCTGAACCCAGTGCTGGACACCACAGTTGTTATTTCCCATTTCCAGCAACGTTTCTATTTCCAGATGAATTCCCTGACCTATTTGGTGGGAGCAGAAACACAAGGGAGGGAGATGGGCACCACAGCCACGAGCCATTGAGAAAAGCCATTGAAGCCTCCCTGGGCTTTGTCAAGTGTGTTCTCAGCACTGCTTATTTCTAAGAAAGGGACAAAAGAAATTGTTCCTTGTTGAAGTGCTTTTGGTCAGCTCCTGGACCACGTGTGTGGGCTGCTCCTGGCTGCTCCCAAAGGCTGGGGAATAGCTGTGCTCCGTTCACCTGCTTGGAGTAATCAGCTTCCCTGGTGCTGCTCCTGCCTCTGCACACCGAGCTCTGATTGCAGCAGCACAGGATTGTGCCTCCTCACCTCAGGCACGGTGGATTTGTGAGCAGTTTTCTGCCACTTACTTCCTTGTTGCCATCATGACTTGGCTGGATCATGTCTGGAATAGCTTCCCAAGGCTCTCCAAAGGAGATGGAGTCCCTGCAGCAGAGCACTGGGACTGCAGCACAGCTGCTGTTCGGGCAGCTCAAACCCTCCTGCTTAGGGCAGGGCTGCTTCAAGGGTGGCTGGAGAGAGCACGAAGATGTCTGTCCCTTTTGGCAGGGATTTGCTGCTGCTCTCCTGAATGACTGAAGTGCACATGAATAGGAACAGGCGTGTGGCTGCCTCCAACAATTGAGACATCTCCGGTGCGCTCCGGGCCATTGTGCTGTTTCCTGTTCCTGCTGCTCGCTGCTCTGTGCGAAAGCAAATCAGTCTGATCTGCCTCACAATGCTCTCTCTTCCTGCTTTACAAGCCCAGCACCGGGCTGATGAGCACCACGCCAGCCCAGGCTCCCAGTCACACAGGCACTGTGGGAATTTCCACACGCTGAGGTCCTGGTTCCCCCCCTTGGGTGTGCTCAGCTTTGGGACAGAGAGGAGCATTCCTTTACCCCCCTAGGTGGCATCCTGCAAACAAGGGCTTCTCATGTGCTGCTTCGCTGCCCTTGACATCCCAGCCTGCTGTGTTGTGCAGCCCCAAGGTGCTCAAGGGACAACAGTGGGATTTATGGGTCTTCTGTCTTTCCTTGGGATGCTGGGGAACACCCAGGGCTTGCACCCTGCCACACTCCCCCAGTGGGACCAGCTTGTCCCCTCCTGGCAGCCAGGTTTGGATGTGCCCAGCAGCCTCCCTCCCTTCCCACACATCCAGGGCCTGGCAGCACCTTGTCCTGGGTGCTGGGTGCAGTCCCAGCCTTGCTGAGCAGAGATGAGGATTTGGGGTCAGGGTGCCTGCCCTCAGCAGGGCATTGCCACAGCCCTTGGGCTGTGCAATGGAGCAGGAGCAGCTTCTCTCTTCTCCTATCTTTGTGATTCAACACCAGGCATGCACCCCCAAATACTGAGGTGCTTTCCATGGGCTGCACAGGGAAGTGGCAGAGGCAGAGCAGTGCTGGGAGCTGCTGCTGTGCTGGGTAAGGCAGTGTGGGTGTGCAGGACAGGGCTTAGCAGGAGAGGGGACGTGTCCCTACAGAGCTCCCACTGTGCTTTGTGCCCAGCCTGGCACAGGTTCAGCCACATCACTCTGGAAGGCAAGCCAGTCCCCAGCTCAGCACATCAGGAAGAGAAGGAAATACCTTCAAGTGAGTTTTTTCTTCCTACTTATTTCATTTTAGCTTTTCCCTGACTGGCTGAGAGAATGTGCTATGCTGTTGTCACGAGAGATGTGGGGAGCAGAGCTGGGGATCATCCTGGGTACCTCCAGTGCCAGGTTGTGCCTCTCCTGTGTTTTTCTGGCCTCTGGGCACATCAGGCTCTGCTGCTCCACCCTGACTCTCCAGAGACTTGAAAACACGGAAGGAATCCTGGCAAACCTGGTTTGTGAGATCTGCACCCAGGTCAGCCCTGCCTGGCTCTGCCATTGTCCTCCAGCCTCTCCCTGTGCCTTGCCAGGGATCAGCCCTGCCTCCAGCCCAGCTGCTGGGATGGGCAGCCAGTTTATTACTGAAGCTCTCCCTAAAGGCTGGTAGAAAATTGGATTTAAGCCATTCCTTAGCCCAGACTGGCTCCCTGCTTTGTATGTCCTGTAGGCACTGAGCTGCAGGGCCACGTGTATCAGTGAGTCTTGGAGGGACAGGGAGCAGCAGCTGCTGGCTCTGGAGGTTGCTGGTGCCAGGATTCACAGCTAAGTGGAGAGGAATTTGGAAGGGAACTTAATTCTGGTGGGTTTGGACCTTGTCAGGATCACTTGTTATTGCAGAAGGAATGCACAGAGGCCCAAGAGGAGCAGGGTCATTCCCTGGGCTGTTACACTCCAACAGAACCTTTCTTTATGGGGATCCTCACATTGTGAAAAACACGTTCACTCTCCTGTGAGAATGTAAAAAGTTTAATAAAGGACAATAGGAGACAAGGACCATAGAGCAAAGGTTATTAGGGCTGGGTGCATCTTGGCACTCAGCCAAGACTACCCTTTGGGGACACCCTGTAAATACCTTTTCACTTACATCAGCTCGTTACTTATTCATAGATCCTTATCTATATAGTAATAGTAAACTTACTATAGCGTAGTAAACTTTTCCCCAAACTAGTTTACATGTTCTAAGAATTGTTTAGCATATCACCTCTTTGGATCTGTTTTTTTAGAGTATGTGTATTTTTTGATTGTGGTTTTAGTCTATTTTTATTACTTCTAGTTTTTGGGTCTTGATCCACACTATCTTCAGACAGTGAGAGCTGATAGTTGGCAGATCTGTAGCAGGTGTGTTCACTCATCCTGTGTTCACTGGATGTTATCCCATCCAAGCAGACATTTTAATATAAGTATTGCCATTTCACTACTATGTCTAAGCTTAATTAAGAATAGAAATAAAAACTATATCTTTATAACAAAGTTACTTTAACATCACACATATAAAATCCATTTTAATATTTGTGAAAAGCCAATATTATAATATGTATCTATAACAACATCATCAGGGGAAATCTGGTTAAAACTCCTGAGGAAACATGGCTGGGATGTGCTGGTCCTCTGTGACCTGCTGTGCCCGTCAGCCTGGAGAGGTCCTGGTGCAGGGAAGAGCAGGGCCCAGCTCAGGAGAAGCAGGAGCAGCAGGAGGGGCTGGTGGACTCGTGGTGTGCCAGCAGCAGGCACAGATCCTGCTTCCAAACTCTGCCTTTCTGAGGGGAAAAGCCCTGGGTCGGGGGTTCCAATGGGCTCCATAAGGAAAATGCTCCCTGATGGTCCTGCTGGGATAGATGGGAGAGGGGCTGGGAGTGCTCAGACACTGCCATGGGGAGCAGTGGGTGTTTCTCTGTGTGCAGAGGTGAGGGATGGGCTCCCAGCCAGGCCAGTTCTGCTCCTGCTGCCAGAGTCCCGCATCCCTCCCCTTCTGGGAAGGATGATTTGGAGGGGCAGCCCTGGGGCCAGGCTTCCCTCACCTCTGTGTGTGTGGGAGCACAGGGAAGGTTTTGGGAACACACAGGGGCTCCTCACCCGAGAGGGCCACAGCAGCACTCCCAGTGGTGCTGGGCTCCAGCAGCCACTGTGTCACAGTGTCCTGGTGTCCCTGTAGGGATTTTCCAGCCCATATCCTGCAAAATGCATTAAAACTGAAGCTGACAGTGGAGGCAGAGCTGTGACCCCACAAAGACAGCTGGAATAGGCACCCAGCAAAGAGCACCAGACCACTTCTTCATGGGTTTCACGTGGCCCAGGGTGTGACTCAAGAGGCACCTGAGTCCCTCAGTGGATCACAGCTCTTATCTGGACATTTGGGCTGCTGCCTGCAGCAGGAGAATTGTTTTCCTCCGGGGAACAGGGTGTTTCCAGCCCTGTGCAAGCCTGTTCCCATCGAGCAGCTCAGGCTGCTGAAATGAAGCAGAGCTTGTGCTGACACCACTTCCAGTGGGATCTGCAGCCATGCCCAGGCTGCAGCCCTGAGCTCCTGACACAGATAATGTCATTAGGAGGGTTAGGGAAGCAGCAGCCCCACAGGGGCAGAGCTGCTGTGAAGGGGCCAGGCAGCTGCTGGAGCTGGGATGTCCTGCTGCAGAGCTGGGATGTTCTGCTGCAGAGCTGCATGTCCTGCAGAGCTGGGATGCCCTGCTGCAGAGCTGGGATGTCCTGCTCCAGAGCTGCATGTCCTGCAGAGCTGGGATGTCCTGCTGCAGAGCTGGGATGTCCTGCTCCAGAGCTGCATGTCCTGCAGAGCTGGGATGTCCTGCTGCAGAGCTGGGATGTCCTGCTGCAGAGCTGGGATGTCCTGCTGCAGAGCTGCATGTCCTGC